GTTTGCCCCCCCCCCCCCCCTCCCCAGGTTCGGTCGACGCAAGACTCTGTTGGCCTTCATCTTCGTGGTGATCGCCAGCACTTTCGCCAACGCTTTCATCTACAACATCCCATCCCTCATCGCCTTCCGCTTCCTGGCCGGCCTGTCTACCACCAGCACCTACCTCAACTGCTTCGTCCTCGGTCAGTTTGTTCGTTTGTTTGTTTGTCTGCTTGTTTGTTTGTTTGCTTGTTTGTTTGCTTGTTTGTTTGTTTGTTTGTCTGCTTGTTTGTTTGTTTGTTGAATTGCTTGCTTGTATATTTGTTTGTTTGTTTGTTTACCAGTAGATTTGTTTGTTTGTCAGCTGGGTTGTTTGCTTGTATCTCGGTTGGCCTGGTTGTTGTTAAAGTTGATTTGTTTGTCTGTCTGTTAAGGTATGGTAAGGTGTATCGTGGGTTTATGATCCTAAGTAAAAGAAGCAAGACGTCCACATTTGGTGTCTGTCTCCGATAGGACCAGGACGGGATTTTTTCAACGCTAGTAAACGTTGTAGTTTTATTGACAGACTGGAATCATTGTGCTGAAAGTCTCTCTCTGATAAAACCGAAATGGAACTCCCTAAAATTATCCAAATTCAAGAACATTCCGGCTGTGCTTCGACATTTACGTTCATGCTTTCTCATGTCTGTGGACGGAAATTTTGATTTATTGAACAATGTTCCCCTCCACACCTCGTGGTATAAGACTAAGAGGACAGAACAAGTTCAGAAAAAGTAGATCTAAGCCCTAAGTCATACCGAAAACATTCATTTTTTTGTCTACGTTTCTGTGCCTCTGCACCACCAATAAATGTCAGATAGACAGACAACTGAAGTTGGGATTTTAGAAAAAGTGTATTGTCTGGTTTTGGAATCATTAGGATGCGGGACATGGGGATAGAGAGGGGAGAAGGAAGAAAGGAACGATTATCTGGAAAGGAAAGACGTCGCCATAATCAGATAGCCACCGGAACAATCAGTAGGGATACCTTGAGGGCTTTGTGATGGGGGGGGCTGAGCACTTATGGACCTGTCCGGTGTGCAATGACGTTGTTGCCCAGGACAGGTAATACAGGTAATGCAGATTCTCTTTAGACAGTAGACGTGTACATTTTGACTGCACATGACCTAACTGCGCTCTCTGTCTCCACCACAGAGGAGAACACAGAACCATCACGTCTTATCTTTTCTTACGTTTCACATATAGTCGCGACATGACCGCACCCCAACCCCATATCTCAACCTTCTACACCACTAACCGAAACAACGCTCAAGACTCTGCTTTGATACCAATGTTATCAGAGCATGGTTATGTTTCCAACTACGCCACCTATTCTGTTTACTTTCTCGTGCCCAAGTTTTCACGAACTCCTCATTTATCTCTCTTTTATAATGCACTGAGAATTTGCACAAGGGTTTGGCCTGGACTGCTTTTTATGCAAGTCTCCGTCTGGCTCTATTTTGAAAGTGATATCATTACAGAGTCTTACACTGAGCAGTCTGAATGTCCTTGACTTTAACTCTTTCACTACTGTGAGCCCTGTTTCACGGCGCTCCACTTACTGCTTCAAAACCACACCTTCTTTTGTAATAATATAATCTGACATCTCACTTTCAGGCTGAAGAATGATTGTTTTTAACAACATGTTGAGATAGGTCAATATTTCCCCATTATTTTCATTTGTAATACATGTAGCTAATATTGGATATTGAACTTGAAAATCTTTAATTTGTCTGACGGTAGGCAGAATCAGAAAGTGAGTCACAGAAATGGCCCGGTCCAGGTGAGGAAAAACCCCTGTAGTGCAAGAGCTAAGGAAGATTACTTTTGTCCTGCGAAAGATGAAACCACTTCTGATTTCGTCTCCGTGTTTATCTAACAAAACAACAGCAACAACAACAGCAACAACAACAACAGCAACAACAACAACAACAACAACAACAACAACAACAACAACAACAACAACAACAACAACAACAGAGCCCACCATTTTGAATGGCACCATATAGAATGGTGCGTCGCATTCTCGAATTCAGCAAGACTGGTGTCTGCCCTTCTTTTGGGTGTGATGGCACGCCTATGAAGGGCACGTTAGCAAGCGAAGCTCTATATAGAACTGAAAACGTAACATCACTGACATCCATGACAGTGCGCTGTCTTGAAGTAGAAGCCAATGATCCAGGGTGACAGGATTCTTGCATGTGTCTAAATTATTTAATGCTACGCCCCTCTTCAGAGAAGTGTTGCAGAAAGGCCAAATCCTATGCTGGAAAGCAAAATATGAATGAAATAGCCGTACCGTGTATTTAAAAAATCAATTAAAAAAACTCCGTAGAACTAATTCAAAGACAAAACTGATTTTTAAAATTCAGAACCCAAACCCGTCTGACCTATAAAACCACTCACGAAATGAATTTAAAACCAGAAAGCTTAAAAAAAACCCAAACAGCATCGAATCTGCAGTGCAGACATATCGCTTTCAAGAGCACAACAATGATCGGTAAAAGTCAAATTGAGCC